ACAACGACTGCTCCTGACTGAACCGCGCGTGAGGAGCAGATAGACGCACGCGGTCGTCGTCACGTCGGCCCCGCAGCCATCGAGCAGCTGGTTCGCGTGAAGCCGCCCATCGACTCGGCCTCTGCGCTTGTGGGGCGCCCCAGTCGTCGCGTGAGTAACTTGCGCGTCTCGGGTGCGCCACGAGCTTCAACCTGAATCGCGACGACTCGCGCGCGTACCACAGCTCCAGCGCCTGCAATTACTACCCCGTCGATCGTCCCACCGTCGCTCGCGGCGGAAGCATCTCGACCGTCGCTTTCACGCTCGTCCGGTATGTTACATCGCTGGAGAGATCACCGTGGGCTTCCCTTCCCCCACTCGTGCTCACCGCCTTCTTTCTAGACGCTCGAGGAAGATGGGATGGGGTCAATCATCCAGTCGGTCCACGCCCGCGGCGACTCGTAAAGCGGGGCAGGCCACGAACGAGTCCGTGCTCTGTGCCGTCATCGACAGCGGTCGGTCGGGTCGGTCGTTCGCTCGTTCGTTCGCTCATCTCCCGCTCGTCGTCGGTTGTCCCTTGATCTCGGTGGACTTGCAGCCTTCACGTGCCTCGTCGTCGTCGTTGTTGTCAACGCCCTCTTGCAATCGCGACTTTTGGGCCGGACCGAGCCACCCTCGTCGCCCTCGTGCGGGTCCGGCCCTGCCACTTGCTGCGTCGCGACGCCACGACGGCGGCCGTAACCTGTTGCTTCTCTACACGACGAGTGGCTTCGAGCCGCGCGTTCACACACGCCGAGACAGCGCACACGGACGAGCCGAGCGTTAACAAAGACGCGCCGGCCCACCGGCTGGCCACGGCCTCGCGTGGTAGTCACAGCTCGACCGACGCCTGGCACTGCTTTCCAGCAAACCGCTCGCGCTTTGTTCGCGCATGTCGCTCGGGCGGCAGCGCTCGCCACGGACTCCTCTCTCTCTCTCTCTCGAGAGCTCACTTTGCAACTTGCCGCCTGCCACTTCCTAGCGACCAAAGTATCTGCTAGACCCCCACGGGAGCCAGTACCACTGCAACTACCACTGCAACTACCGCTGCAACTATACCTCTTCCTCCTCTGCACGATGAGCTCGATCCGGTCCATCATTACCACCCCCCGGGACAACTCACTGCCCACCGAGTCCGTCTCGCCCCGCGAACGTCCGTTCCACTGCCCCGTGCCGTCGTGCCACGGCCGTTTCCAGCGCAAGTTCACGCTCCGTGAGCACATGAAGACGCACACGGGCGAGAAGCCGTACCAGTGTCCGATCCGGTCGTGCGCCAAGCGCTTCAGCACGTCGGGCAACTTGGCGCGCCACCGACGGCTCCACTTGCTCAAGAAACTCGAGTGCCCCGTCCAGGGCTGCACCCGCATCTTCACGAAAGCCGACAAGCTCGCGCGCCACTTGCAGAACCACCTCGGCAGCGTCGCGCACATTTGCGTCGTCGAGAGCTGCAACAAGACGTTCAGCACGGCCGGGAACCTCACGCGCCACTTGCGGACGCAACACGCGCCCGGCGCGGTCGCTGCGGCGCGGGCGGCGGCGCCGCTGCACCTCCGGATGCCGTGTGTGCGCCCGAGTCCGCCCTTTTTGACCGACTATGCGGCCTGGACGTCGGACGCACCTGCGTCTCCGACCGCCAGTAGCACGAGCAGCAGCAGCAGCACTACTACTACGGGTAGTACGACTTCTACTGCTGCTGCTGCTCGTGAGCTGACTTCGAGCACGACGGACGAGACGAATGTCTCGGATCACGAGATCCTCGACGTACTACAGTGTCTCTTTGTCGACGACATGGCCGCGGCAGCCGCTGAACACGTCGACTATCCTTCTCCTCCTCCTCTTCCTCATCGTCATCATCATCATCACCATCATCCCCATCATCCGTCGCAAGCGGGGGACAGTACCGACTGCAGAGCGATCAGCCCGTTCTGATTTACCTCTGAGAGGCCCTTGTCGACGCCATGGCGTACTGCGACACGACAGTGGACGTGAAGGAACAATGGCGATAGAGAGAGATTGAGAGAGAGCTGTGTGTGCATTAGTTTATAAACAATGGAGTGTGATTGTACCGATCGCGTCGCCTCGTGCGTCACACACAATGCGTCTTCTTGCTCTCTCCTGCGCCGCCGTAGTAAGGGCAGCCGCGTGCCACGTGTTTTCATCCTCCTACATATCGATAGCAATGCACACAAGCGGACAAGTGGGTAGACAGAGGTCCGTCCGTCCGTCCGTCCGTCCGTCCTTTATTTTCCTGTCCGGACCGCCGAGTCCGTTGACCCATCCGCAGCGGATCGACAGTGTCCGAAGGCGGCGGTGTCGTTCCTCTGCTCGAAATGTGTCGCACGCGCACCTGTGGGACACTGTGGATCGCCTGCGGGTGCCTCAACTCTCTCCTTTGGGCCGTTCACCTGGCGGTCCGATCGACGTCTGTACGAACAGAGCAGTCTGACAAGGGGAACGCAGGGGACAAGCAGACAACTTTTCTCCCACGTTCACATGCACACAGCGCTACAGGCGTCTTCGCGCCTCAACTTGCAGCCGCGGGACGTGCAAGCGGTACCTGCTGCGGTGATCTTTTGTCTCGTCCGTCGCCATGTCGCCAACGACGGCAGCAATAGTGAACAAAGAGGTTCAGTCACTGCACGTTGCAGCTAAGGCGCTGCGTGAGCGGCATCGACTTGCCACGAACGACTCGATCCCCACCCACCGCCTTCGCGTCGCACAAGTTTTCGTGTCATTGCGATCGCTGCAGGCGGTTTCGTCGTGCGGGCAGAGCCAGCAACAAATGGTCTGCGCAGGTTCGTATGATGTCGTGTGCAAGTGGTCATCGGGGCGCCGACTTGTTGCCCTCTGGTCGCAGTACCGCTGCGACGACGAACATGGCAGGTGCGCGTACTGAGTTAGGAGCGGCGTGAAGTGTGCGGTGTGGCAGTTGGTTCGGAACACGACGTGGTCGACGACAGTCATCAGGCGCAGCACCTGTTTTACTACTACCACTACGACTACTACGACTACGACTACTACGACTACTACGACTACTACTACTACTACTACTACTACTACTACTACTACTACTACTACTACTACTACTACTACTACTACTACTACTACTACTACTACTACTACTACTACTACTACTACTACTACTACTACTACTACTACTACTACTACTACTACTACTACTTAGGAAGAACACGTCGACTGCTTGCTGCGACAAAAGCCTAACAACAGGACCGACTATCGATGACAATGCGTAGCAACAGGTCGAAGCTGTCAGTTGTGGTCGTATATAGCATCTTGTCCGATACGACACGCAACCAAAGAGAAGCTCTTGTGGACAGATACGTACCGCACATTATCGCCAGTCCGAGTCATACATACCAGCGACAAGTACACACTGTGTCAGGGGCTTTCACGCAATGCGTACGGTATATATGCTGCCATGTATCAGCAAGAAATATCTCGATAGTGTTGTTCTCAACCCTTAGAAGCCGACATGCTGCAATGAAGGTGTGTACTCCTTGCACTGCTATTGTATCGATGTGGCCTCGTTGCCATCACCATCTGCAGCTATGCCCTACAAGAGCATGAACAGCTTTGTGATGTGGGTGGCATGCAACATCTGCGTCGATATAATACGAAGAATACCGTTTGCCAGGCTTTGTAGCGAACGCTGACGCTGTGACGTAGACTGCCGTCATGCTTCGCTATTGACCCACATCGCACGCTGACGCGAGCAACTTGGAGCAGTAGCGGCTGCCTCATGTATATTTGCTACCGCGACAGCAAGTGACTGCTCCATGCGATCCCAGTTGCAGCTTAGCACACTGAAATAGCGCACTCGCGAGCAACTTGGAGCAGTAGCGGCGTCTGTGACTAGTAACATGCGCCTCGTGCACGTATGACTTCGCCTAGCGGCCAACACTTGTCGTCTCGGATAGCACTGCACGATCGTTCGGTCTCCAGAGCGTGTATATATTTAGTTCGCTGCATGTATACACGAGTATAGTCGACCACGCGGAGCGGATCTCTTGCGTCCGTTGCGTAACGACAGCAGCGCGTACAGATGGGAGGAACGAACACTGCACTTCTTCGCGGCAAATCATGTGATACCTTTCGATAGGCAGCAGCTGTTGACACGATAGAGAGCTCCGCACACGAGATGCAGCGTAGTACCCCATTGGCTTTCGTCTATCGCTCTTCGTGACCGACAGACAGAAAAGACAGACGGCGGACTGCCTGCATGAGTCGCGTGGAAGCGGTGGTATCCGTACGTCAATATGCAATTGCGTGCATTGTACATGAGGAGGCTGTAGTCACGCGGGTCTTACCATATCGAATCGTGATCGACTCGTTCCGTTTGCGTGGTCGACAAGTGTAACTTACGAGGACAGCGATGTAACCGATCGAAAGACTGGAGCAGCGGAGTCGGCTTGAGTCGAAGATCAGATCGCGTCGCAGGATCGAACTCAGAGAGCGTCTACACATACACAGTACCGAGTGTGGTCTCGCACTTGAGTCGAAGCAACGTGCGTGACAGCATTCGTCGACTTCGCACACAGTCTTCGTACAGCACGTCACCCGACCTCTTTTGTCACTCCCCCCCCCGCTGCTTGTTGGGCAGTTGTAACGGATGTAGACCCGCCAGGTATACCTCTACCACCTGACGTTGAAACACCCGACTCGCGCTGTCCAGTCATTTCCCGCTGTAACGACCGCACACGGAAGAAGTGCCCGTGCGTTCTCGTGTAGCTCCGACCCATCAGCAGTCGCCTGTCAAGAATCGCTTCAGGACGCCCGCCATCACCACCGGATGCAGCTAACGGACTCCTTTCCACACTGTTTTGTCCAGCGCGTGGCCAGTAGTACCTCCTCGTTGCACACTCCGACTCACACACACACACACATTCGAGCACTCACTTTTCCATTCCCACAGTCCAACTCACGTCCCTCGTCATCCTCTACTCGCTGTGCTCCTTCTACAAATGACTGGTCCCAACGTCGTGTCCACTGTCTTGACGGCTCTCCTCGTGACGTCGTCGTCGACGCCGTTCCTCGTCGCGGCCCAAGAGTGTCCATCGAACGTGAGCGAGTCTTTCGTGGCCACGATTGACAACAGCACGTTCTTTAGTACGTGTGCCGAAGGCGCGACGTTCAACGTCTCGTCGGTCTTTGACGTGTTAAACTTCACGGCCGAGAACCTCTTTGTGTTCTGCAACTCGTCCACGTGCCTCGAGCCCATTCACGCGCTCATGGCGCCGCTCGACTGCAACATCACGTACATGGGTACACTCCGTAACCTCTCGGCCGAAGTGTCCGAGCTCCACGACGTGTGCCACGAGACCCTCGACGCCGCCGAAGGGAGCAGTGGCAACGAACGGGCAACAGAGTCAAAGGACATGAGTGGCCACGACCACACTGGGGACAGCTCGAGCCATTCGGGTTCGATGGCTTCGCCTGCGTCGACAGCTGCGGTCCTATCAGCTGTGGCGGTCGCGTCCATTGCGACGCTGACGGCCTTGTTGGCCTAGTTTTAGGACGTGCTAGATCTACACCGGGAGGTACTACTTCTCGACCAACAGCAGACGACAGTGGTTCTTGATTGGACTGGTTGTCGCACGAAGGACAGCGAAAGATTGTCAATGAAGTAGCACGTACTTTGCCCACAAGTTGTTTTGCCCATGTTGTCGTAGTTGGTTTCGGAATACGGGGAGATAGTGTGTGTGTATGTGGGATGGGATGGGATAACGGTCAGTGATGTTTTCCTAATGTGGCAGCACATCGGACCGTGTTTTGTGTTTCCGCAGACACTGACGACACAGCACACAGTCTTCGCACCGCGTTTTGTGCGCGTCTCTCTCGATTGAAACTCCTGGTCCTTTTCTCTGTTCTGTGCCGGATAGCGCGGGACGTCGCACAGAGAGCTGGTAACTACCTCGTGAGCCAAGTGGTAGAGATTTGTGAGGGCAGATACGTGTACGTACATTCGTCGGCAGCAAAAGTCTAAGCACTCCACCTACGGCCACCTCTACTCCAATCCATGTCGACCTCTCATCGTCTGACTTGCCCCAAAGTGCCACCGACAACCACTAACTCAAGCAGCAAAAAGCTGAGCCAACCCGCACAACGCCAACATTGGTACTGAGCCCGTGACACGATCCTCGCAATGTCACAATCAACAACGCCACACTGGATCTCATCCAGCACGCACTCACTCTGCTCGACTGTGTCTATCTGCCCTCGAGCACAGTGCAACTGCTCAAGCTAGCACGCCCTTGGTACTTGGCACACCGGCAGTAGCGTCGTGCTTGACAGCAGTGCGCAGCGCCACGGCCAGAGCTTTGAAGGACGCTTCGGCGCGGTGGTGGTCGTTGCGGCCGCGGAGGACGTCAACATGCAGCGTCAGACGCGCCGCGCTGGCGAACGATTCGAAAAAGTGCGTGATCATCTCACACGACAACTCGCCCACGGTCGGACGGACCAGGTGCAAGTTGACTTCGCTGTGTGCGCGGCTCGAGATGTCCACAATAGCGCGTGACAGCGCTTCGTCCAGTGGCACACAAGCGGATCCAAAGCGAGCGATACCCGCCCGATCGCCAAGCGCTGCATCGAACGCTTCTCCGAGCGTGAGCGCACAGTCCTCGGTCGTGTGGTGGTCGTCGATCCACGTATCGCCTTTGCACTCGAGCTCGAGATCAAAGCGGCTGTGCTTGGCCAACGCCGACAGCATGTGGTCCAAGAACCCGATGCCCGAGCTCACCTGCAGAAACCGATACACAAAAGAGAGCCCACACGCGCACGCGCAGACAAAAAGAGACAAGAAAACAGACACATCGAGCAAACGGGACAGCAACAAGAGCGTCAATCCCACAGTGTGTCTCACGTCGTCACAACGTCCATATGTCAGACAGGCGATCCGTACAACGTACTTTGGCTTTGCCCGTGCCGTCCAATGACAGCTTGACGTTGATCGACGTCTCGTTTGTCACGCGGCACTTGGTGGCTTCCCGCTTCCCAGCTGTCTGCTGTCCTCGTTTGTCAGCGCTCGCGCCCGAGTCACTGCGCTGTGCGGGTGGAATGAGGTCCAACAGCTCTGCCAGTCCAGGCTTCAACACCTTAGCTGCCCCTAATTGCAGCAGCACGTTTTCAATCGGCGCTGGCGTCTGGTCCAGCACAGCTTTGGCGTGATCCACTGGCGTCAACACGCCGTAGACGGCTGTACCGGCTGTGCGCGCTGCAATCACGTCGTCGACGGTGTCGCCGACCATCACAGCGGCTTCGGGACGCACGTCGAGAGCGTCGAGCGCCAAGCGAATCGGCTCGTCTGACGGCTTCGGCAGACAGTCCTCCATGCAAACCAACGCCGCAAACACATGTTCAAGGCCGTGCGTGCGTAGAAACGCGACGCAGTCGTTCCGCGGCCGACCTGTGACGACGGCTATGCCCTTTGGCAGTCGGCACCGTAACTCTTGCAGCAACCCAACCGGAGTCAGCAGCGTCTCGAGCGCGCAGAGGCCAGGCGTGGTACCCACGCCCTGGTACATGGCTTCAAACTGGGCCGTCACTGCCTCGAGCGATGGAACGGTCGAACTACCACTTCCACTACTGGCGGCGGCGGCGGCAGCGACACCAATGAGACGGTGCGTAAGGTGCCAGTCGTTGTTGGCATTGCCCGCGAGTTTCAGCCGCTCAATGTCGTCGTGTGTGACGGAGACGCCAAAGTGACGCGCCGTGTCGATGATCGCCTGGCGGTACGACTGCGACACGTCGGCCAACACGCCGTCCATGTCGAGCAGCAGCGCTTGGACGGGAGACGGCATGATCCCAAATGCGATGGCGTGGGCTCGAATACCGGTATATCGATTGATGTCTGCGGTTGATGGACTCTGATTGGTGGACTCTTGTCGGCCGTGGGCATGGTACAACCGGAAAGAAGAATAGTAGTAGTAGTAGTAGTAGTAGTAGTAGTAGTAGTAGTAGTAGTTGGAGGAGCAGTAGTAGAAGTTGGAGGAGGAGGAGTAGTTGCAGCATATCCGACTGTTCGACTTGTGTTGCGGCGGACGCTACATGGAATACGACCGCTATTGACACGCACTCTATTCCGTCGTCGTCATAGCAGTTTATTGCATCGTCCATACCGTACTTTGCATCAGCGCGAGCGCATCTCAAGCCACTTGTAGTCGGCCGTTCAGCGACCGACTTGCAGATGGCAGAGCAAAAATGGCGATATTTATGGACCTACATGTCGCTTCACCTGGCTCCACGCACACGCACACACACGCAATAAGAACCTGTAGACGCAGCCACCCACTCTTCTGAACTGAACGCCGCCACTAAACTTTCGACGGTTTCACCAGACGAGATCGTGTACCCACAGTCGAGCAACGTGTCCGTCTGTCTTTGCGGTGCGCTCGCGACCAGACGCTCTCTGGGTCGCTTTCGCATGAACAGGTGCTTCAGGCGCCCTATTCGCACTAGTTAGTCGGACGTGGCTCGAGGCTGTTCCCATCCACGAGGCCCTCTTGCGCACGACCGTCGCCCAGTAGTGCAGTGTACGCAACACGGCCTCCCACAGGTCTTCGTCCGACTTTTCGTGATGCAAAAAGACGACGTGCCCAGCTGCACAGGCGTTCACGGTAGGAGCTTTTGGCCGTAGGACGTCCGCAGGCCTTTGCGCGAGTTGCGAGAAGCGTCAGAGAAGCTCTGCCGCTTGTCGCCAGTGCGAAAAATCAATTCCCAACGTCAGGTCCGAAGATCGACCACGAAGCAGTGCGAAGACGGAGCCCGAAAGGTATCGCACCCGCCAAATGTGTCGCCACGACAGGTGCGACTATGCGCACGTCTTCGGTGGCGAGAACATGTTGCGGCATCGACCTTCTCCTTCTCCCACTACTACTGCTACTCCTCTTCCTGCTACAACTACGAAACGGTAAGGAGCGTGCGCAGCCACAGAGTACAAGCAAGAACATGCATACATACATACATGCATACATACATACACTTGTACCTACCTACCTACCTACCTACCTACATGCACTTGTACCTACAAATCGTGAGCGCGTCTCGTCAATCAGCTCAGTCTTTTCGTGCGCCGTTGCCTCAACCGCAGCGAGCAATTCTCGCCAGCACTTGTCGATTGATTCGCGCAGTACCCCTCACCACTGCCGTCGACCAGAGCACCGAGTTGCAACGCACACGCACAACGTGCACAGACTGTGTGCTACCACTCTGCAACATGAGGACAACAGGAGAGCTGCACAGCCACTTGATGATGATCCAGACGTATCTCCGCTGCACAGAGGACGTTGACGCCCAGTCGGTCCGCCCCATCCGCGTGCAATTTGACGCCACGGCCGCGAGCTTTACCGCGTACCTTACCAAGTACCACACAAAGCACTTGGCGTCTCGCTTGGTCCACCTTCGAGCGATCTGCAAGGAAAAGCGGCGCATCGCTGACGCCATCGAGCGCATACACGCACTGATTCACGCGCCCAGTGCAACAGCACTTGGGACCTTTCGGACGAAATCGATCGCCAGACGCGCGTGTTCGCCCGGCACGCCAACGTCACGTTTGACAAAGCACGACACGACGTATACCTACGACAGCACTTCGGACACGAGTTCGTTCCACGACGACGAGATCGGTAACGACGACCGCTTGTCAAACGACGACGACGACCACTTGTCGCACGACGATACAGTAGGACCCGTGAGCCATAATTGCCTGACGTCGCTCGAGGTCGAGAAAAAGGACCGCGTGGCATGTGCTGTGTGGGCGGATCCGTGGGACGCGACGCTGCGCGACGTTTGGATCCCTCGCGAACAAGTGGTTCTGGACGCGTTTGTCACGCGGGGGGCCTACGGCGAAGTCTACCGTGGCACGTACAAGGGACAGACTGTTGCCGTAAAGACAATGAGTGACATGGACCGGTCGTTGCAAGAGATCCAAATGGCCGTCCAGCTCCGCCACCCGAACATTGTCCACTGCATTGGCGTCGCGTGGAACTACCAGCGCGACATGTGCTGCTGCGTCATGGAGTTCATGGCCGGCGGCGACTTGCGCACGCTGCTCGATCACTACTCGCACGACAGCGTACAGTACGCACTGGGCTTTGACTTTCAAAAGCTCCTGATCGCCTACCAAGTGGTACGGGCGCTTGTTTACATGCACTCGCGAGCGGCGACCGTCATCCATCGCGACCTCAAGTCCAAGAACATTCTGCTCACGCGCGACTTGGACGCCAAAGTGACGGACTTTGGCCTCTCGCGACGGTGTGCAGTGGTCGGCCCCATGACGGCCAACGTCGGCACTTCGCTGTGGATGGCGCCCGAAGTGATGCTCGGGAAGCCCTACAACGAGACGGCCGACATGTTTTCCTTTGGTGTGGTCCTCTCGGAACTGTCACTGCACGCGCTGCCGTACGCCGCCCATAGCCAAGTCGAGGCGGGTGGAAATTCCCACTTGGTGATTCTCCGCCGCGTCGCCACGGGCGACTTGTGCGTGGACTTTGCCGAGGCGGGTCCGCCGGCCGTGGTCCAATTGGGTCGGGCCTGTGTTTCGATGGACGTCACGGAGCGGCCGACAGCCGTGGAAGCTATGCGCGTGCTCCATGCGGCGCTCGTCGAGGATGCACGGATGGAGGTTATGAAGACATGCAGTGGATAAGGTTTAAGCGGCCTGTGGTCGCCCGAGCAATGGACGCTGAAGTAACAACAAGAGTATCCGAACACACAAAATATTGGAGCACACACCAAATATTATTAGAGCCCACACAACATATTAGAACTCACACAAAAAATAGATCCACGCACGCATACACGTCGCACGAAACAGGTAGATCACAAATCGACCCACTGGGTTGCATCGTCTCTCAGCTTCTGATTCCAACCTCGTGACGAGTGCAGTTTGCTATTTCAGTAGTCGCATGAATTTATCCGACTATTATCGACTCGACGACGACAAGTCGGTCGCCGTTGCCGACGACAACAGAGCGCTCTTTCGACTGTTTGCGAGCTCCGTTACCCGTTCCCTCGTGCCAGACGGCGATTGTGATCATCCGCCGCAGTGTATAGCGTCGACAACGCCGCAAACGATGGACTGGGCGTCCGATGACGGCGTCGAATATGGTGCGAGGCAGCTGCGTCGTAGCGGTAGTGACAGTGTCACTATTGGTCCGCTGTGCCCTGGCAGTATCCCGGGGGAGTCTCCGTGTCGTCAACGTGTTCGAGCGTTGGTGTACCGCAACGAAAAACCGGTTTTGCGACCATCGGCTCCAGCACACGGCGATAAATTACCACCCGCGACGCTTTCGTCGCCCAATTGCCGTACGAAACGCACGACGGTCCCCGTGCCAACGCTACTGCATGGGAAAGATATTCTGCTCGAGATTATGGATATCCATTCAATGGACCCAGATGGCCGCGACGCCGAGTCCATGAAGTGGACCACTAGTCTCGGCGCAGTCGAAGACAGTGAAGAGTTGTCGCTCATGGACCCACTCTATGACCTCACGTCCGCGCGAATGAAGAAACTATTTTCGTCATTTAATCCTCAAGGTTTGTCCGCGCCAATGCTCGTGCGACTGTTGGTCATATCGCTCTTCTTGTTGGCCTGTACTCGTCATATCTCTCTGATATTCGATCGGATGTCGTGATTTGAACATATTGTCTGTGTATTGTATCCATTGTACGCATTGTACGTGTTTGGCACGAATGTGTTTGTGGTTGTTCTAGATAACGGTATGGTGTCGTACGAAGGGTTCCGACGTGGATTAGAAGCTATGGGCATCTCGTGTCGCGACGATGAGCTGTTTCAAGCATTTATTGAGAAAATGGACGACGACCAGAGCGGCGGCATCACCTATCACGAGTTTGTCAATGCCATCCAGGAGATCAAACTCGCCCAGCTGTTCAATCCAGAGTACCTGCGCAATATGCCGCTCGAAGACACGGCCGTGAAGCCCGGCAGCCGACGGGGAAAAACCCCTGCCGTGCTCGGATCCATCGAGTACTCGCCCGACCGCATTCGGAGCGTGCACCCAATCGACCAAGTGCAGCGATTTATCTACTCGACGAAACCCAACTGGGCGACTGTACGATGGATCAACGTCGAGGGCATTGATCCGCTCTTGATGCGGCGCTTAGCTGTACGCTATCGTCTCCACCCACTGGCGGTCGAAGATACACTCGATACGGATGTTGAGCGTCCAAAGTACGACGAGTACGACGAACATTTGTCGCTTGTGGTGCAGACGATCCACGCACGGGACCTGTGGCTCGTGAAAAAGTACCAAAGTATGTACCGAGCGTCTCTGTACGTGCACGACGAGGACGTGTCGCCGTTTGACAGCATGACGAAAAAAGAATTGGACGAACATTTGAACAAGCTAAAAATTGGCAGCGTCATGACGGCGCCGCAGCAGCTGAGTTTGTACATAATGGACGACGTCCTCATTAGTGTGCAGGAACGCTCGAGCTCACTATGGTCGATGCTGAAGCAGCGACTGGATCGATCATACTCGAAAGTGCGTCAGCACGGGACTGCGTTTCTCGCGTACACAATTGTCGACGTTTGTGTGGACGAATTGGCGCCGCTGACGCACACATTTGGCGCGAAGCTCGTTATGCTCGAGCGACTATTGTGTCTGGATCTTCGCTACTTTGATGTCAGCCGACTCGCGTGTTGCGCAAAGCAGATCAAAGGTCTGCAAGTGCTTTGTAAGCCCCTGAGCGAAGTGATTCTGCACCTTTCGGAAGCCGAAGAGTTTGAGGGCGAAACGCTGAGGTATTTTCGTGACGTGTTGGACCACGTGACCACAGTTGAGGAAGACTGCGAGCGTCATTTGGATCGCTGTCGAAGTCTCATGGAGGATTTCCACAATGCTCGAGCAGCTCAGCAGAATGACGTGAGTTACATTCTCGCTCTGGTCGCTGCCATCTTTTTGCCCGCTCAGTTCCTCACGGGACTCTATGGTATGAATTTCACCAACATACCCGAGCTGCAACACCGTAACGGGTATTTTATCTGGTGGGTGGTTGTGCTTTTGATTGCGCTTGGTACGATTGCCATGTTTAAGTATTACAAGAAATGGCTGTGAGGTTTAGTTGGATAGGGTAGTGCTATGCTGCTTTGTCCATCAGCTGTTGTAGTGGCGGTAGATGGGTAAGTCCTGATGGGGATTTATTTACACACTAGTGCGACTCCTGCAAATGGATCCGAGCGGCCTCGACATACGGTATGAGCCTCATTATTATTTTAACGTAAAAGACTCGACACTGCTTTTAGCACACCACATTCGCGCCTCGGTCCACCCGTCTTAGATCTCATTTCGGTAAAGACGAAGGATAAATGAGCTATGCTTTTTTCTGCTTTGTTGTATTCAGGACATATGAGGTCATATCCGCTGTCTCTCTGTCGTCTACGTGGCGTTAATCGATAACGTCCATCCTCTGCCGTAAGACCGTCGCCAGATGAATACGGGCTCGAGGTCCTATTATTACTTCCTCGCGTCCAGAAAAGAGGCAATGCCGCCATCGCAGACGAGTGACTCACGCGCTTTGGACTATTTTTATTCTTCTGATCGTAACAAATGCCCTCGCGCCGTTCTCTCCGTCGCTATTGATGGGGACTCCGATCCAGCAGCTGCTCTCCGAGACACTCCGCTCCCCTACTGCTGAAGTAGCGAGCGCGACGCCCTTCTGGCCCAAACACTCGCTCCTTCGCGGCTTCCCCTTTCCTCGCCGCCACTCAAATGGAGATCGTGTCGTGGTGATCGGCGCGACCTTCTTCCACAGAAAGGCGCAGCAGTCGTCCAGACTTCAAGGACCACGACGCAGTCGACAGAACCGGTAGTAGCGGGGCGGCCTTCTGCCGTATGTGGCTCGCGCGATTGCGATACGGGAGTCCCTCTCCCACCAGCTACAGCTCGTTCCAAACTGTTCTCGCTGTTCATTGGCTGTTGACGGATTAACACCGGCACGGGATGGACGTGCAAGAAGACTCACGAGGCCGTCGACAAGGCGTTTGTTTAGCTGTCCATTTTCGAACGATGAGCTGATAATTCGAATCTCAGGAATCAGTCGTGGTCGTGGTCGTACTGGTGGTGGTCGTGATCTACTCACTGGTGGCCGTGGTGGTGGTTGTGGTTGTGGTGGCTCATCAAAAAGCTGAGGTACGTTTATGGCTCAGAACGAGACATTTCGTGTTTGCTGGAATTTGATTGTGGCGCTCTTCCAGTATCAGGTGAAGTGATTCAACAGACGGATAACTGCTGAGACCGTGATCTGCATCGTCGACTGCACACAGTCAGTCACGAAGAGGCACACGAATAGGCAGCAACGCAATGTGTCTGCGCAATTGGCGCAATTGGCGCAATCTCATGTCGGTTACATTTCCCCCTTGCACTTGCGCGACGAGATGGCAGCCCACGTGCGACATCTGTGCTCGTGCCGCAGTGTCAAACGAAACGATGCGATGCTACGACCAGCGTCATGGTAGTCAAGCGTTGTAACCCACGCGCGTCACGCTTTGTACGACTTGACTAATTCGTAAACCATCACTCGGTGTGATGGCACGCGCCAAAAGAGCCCACTTGACAGTCCGAGGACAGCATGTAGTCCATAGTAATGCACACGGGTCAGTCATCATTGCCCTAAAAGAACCGACTACCTGCTCTTTTGCAACGGCGTACTCGGAGGTCTGCTCAGCGCGCAAAGCACCACCGACGTCTGAGCTAGAGCAGGCCTCCAAGTGCTGTATTGCGAAGGAGCAGGTGGTGGTCTGCTGTGAGCAACATCGCCAGAGTGCGCATGTTGCGGTCAAAAGAAGATCGCAGAGCTGCGTTTCTGTGCTTGAAGTTCAGTCCAACTTCAACCGCCACGGACAGTGTCGCTGCGGAAACGCTTCGGCACTCGACCGTTTCTTCGGCGGACACCGAGTCGGTCGCAGCAGCAGCAGCGATAGCAGCGACAGTCCCGGCTCGTATCACTCGCTGTCAGTCAGCAGTGTCTCGCGTCGGCCCGACTGGCCGCGTGGACACGAGCAACAGCGCGGGTCGAGACGGTCCGAGAGTGGGAGTGTTTCCCCGCCCGCCCGCCCCTTCCCTCCCGGGTCAACAATTGATGGCAAGTAATCCCACCCCTGGTAGCGAGGAGAGGACAAATCTCGGCCGGTGGGTTCGTCGGCGAAACTGAAGCATTGCGCCGCCAGACCGGGCGCGCGCACATGTGGTCCACCCACACCTACCCGCAACATAGCTCTCCATTTATGTATACACCTCTCAGCTGTTGGGGCCACTCGACCCGGTCAGTGACCCACTTATCAACGTGCTGGCAGTTACATCAGACCATCACTCCTCGTGCGCGCTCCCTCAGCACACAACTCGACCCATGTCGCCGTCGTACTCCCTCAAGCGCACGCGCTCACACTGCGCAATCATGAGCGACGTAGCACCGAGCAACAGCAACGCGGTCGTGTGTTGCTGCGCGAAAAAAAGAACAAAACGCTCGTGCGACCACCGCGAGCGTTTCTCTCGTCCCTCATGGCGTGCGAGCCACACGTGGTGCCCATGTGTTCGGCCGCTTCAGTCTATTGTAGTCGTCACTCGCATGTCACGAACGACGAAAAAGGCAACGGCAACGACAACACCACCGGAAAGTACAACGGCAACGGCAACGGCAACGACAACGGCAACGGCAACGACAACGGCAACGGCAACGACAACGGCAACGGCAACGGCAACGACTTCATCTCTGCTGCTCAATTGGTCGCACTGGTGCTCGAGTACCTCCAAGACGTGGCGCAGTGCTGCCACTACGTCGTCACGTTGAGCTTTGCGCAGCTGCGACACTTGCTGCAGTCGTTTCCTTTGGCGGTGCGACACATGCACTACATTGTCGAGACCCGTCTCGACCAGCTATCGTGGCCACTTGTCGCAGCACTTGTGCAAAACATCACGGCGTTCATTTGCGACGACGATCTCCGGGACGCGTCCGTAAGTGAACTCGCGGCGTTCCTACAGACGCGGCCCATGTCTGCGCCGTCTCGCAACGTGTGTGCCGACGTGATTGAGTTTTTCCAGGACGTGTTGCAGCAGTTTAAGCTCTTTTTGACCACTCAGTGGCTGCAGAGCGGTCGTTTGGGTTTCCCGTGCGAATTCGGCAAAAAGTCCGACGTGCTGTTCTTGTGCATGGAGTGCCATCGCGAGCACATGTGAGACAGGGGATAGGGCGGGGAAATGGCGACGCACGCGGGGCAACAAAGCCATTGTCGGTAGGAACGAGAGCGAGAGGGCGGGCAGGCGCGTGTTGCGCGCGCTGTTACGCTTTCGGTTGTTCGTCACGACCGTGTCACGCGGCGATTGGTGTATATTGGAGTTACCGCCGGCCACGTCGGCTGCGCGCGCGACGGTATTGTTACTTTTTAGCGACCACAATCATGTCGATGGTGATGACGTAGGTGTAGGTGATAGAATGGAGCAGCCAGTGACAACTCGTGTCGGCGGGCGATCACTTCCTGCCTGAGCCGACGCACTGTGCGTCACTTTGCTGGTAGAAGGCACGTCTGGCTGCACAAGACCCGCTACTGCATCGACGTTGAACGAGTCGATGACTGACGCGCTGCAGCAAATAGAACGTATATGTAACCAGAAACACACCTTCTTGCACGATCTTTGCCGCAGTAGAGGAGAGCTGGTGATGCGGCTGCACTCAGGACAGTACCGTAGCACGAGCGTCGTCAAAGCCCCTCGTGCAAGTGCCCGACCGGTCGTTGGCTCCACCGTCCGACTCAAGACCTCGTCGCGTCGTCGACCGAAACGCGGCCTGTTTGCGATCCTCACGCTCGACAAGATCTCGCTCCTTCTCCTCGTCCCGACCGTTCGTGTCGTCGTCCAATCGCGCACCATTAGTACCATTGGCATCCCCTTCTCCCTCTCCCTCTCGATAGTCATGACCCCCGACGCCGATGGCTCTACAGACGGCACGAGCGCTGCCTCGATCGGCCGTCGAGCTGCATCCCTTCGTCAAGAAGGCAACGACGCCTTCAAGCGTCAGCACTTTGACCGCGCCAAAGCCCTCTACTCTCACGCTCTTGCGCTGCAGCCTCGCAATCATTTGCTCTACAGCAACCGATCTGCTGCATGTTACCACCTGAACGAGTTCGAAACCGCATGCGCCGATGCCGACACAGCCATTGCCATTGCACCCGCGTGGCCCAAAGGGTATCTGCGCAAAGCAGCGGCCTGCGAAGCCTTAGCGCGTCTGAGCGACGCGATCGACGCCTTGGAAACGGTGTTGCAGGTGAAGGCACCCGATCACTTGACGTTTGTATCGAGACAGAAACTCGCGACGCGCGTGCGGGACCTAAAACAACGGCTGTCGTCGACCCAAATTACGAGCGAACGCCCCGTTTACGTACAGAACAAGCCGGAAAGCCAGATGGCATTGCAGCACAATAGCAGCTCCGCAAATCGGACGCGGCTTCGGTCGTGGCCATTGATGTTGCAGCAGTTACTTAGTGGCTGTAACCAACGAGGAGTGAACCGACAGGGCGAGCAAGTGGTGCTCGACGACGGCGTGTTCGCCAAGTTACTGAACGAACGCGCGTTCCAGCAGTTGGTCTACCCGGGCATTCCGTCGGACCAGTTGCGCCATGCCCCAACGAATCTGCAGGCGTTGCTGACGGATCCGTGGTACGAACAGGAACTGTTGGCGCTCATGCCAAAAGTGCAGGCCAAAGCGACCCGTGTGTTGGCGAACGTCAAGCAACGCGGGGCTGAGCAGGGAGAGGTCATGGACACGAGGACGGAGCGCGTGCTCGTGCCGCAAGTGTTGCAGGAAGCGTTTGGCCGAGAAGTGCTGGCAATGGTGCACCGCGTGAACCATCAGAAACACGTTCGGTTGGCAAACGACGAGAGGTCGTTAGCTGATCCGAAGGCAGATTTTGCGACGTGGGACCAACTTGACGACGACTTTTTGGACGAGTTGTTGCTCGACAATCGCAGTGCCGTACGTGGCGTGGCAGCGATGGACGGCTTTATGGGCGAAGAATGGACGCAACTGCTGCTCAACGACGTGCGCAGAATGGCCAGCAGTGGTCTGTTGATGACGGCGGCGCCACATATTGATGCAAAGCACGTGTTGTGTCAGCAATCGGGAGGACGGCATGAGAAGAATGTAGTACCGGGGGCAAACCTTCGCTTTGTGGAGCATCAGAACTGCGTGGTGGAGTACCCGGCACTGGCCGAGTTGATCGAGCAGCTGCATGCGTTGCCCTACGAGATGAACAAGAAGCGGAGGAACAAGGTGAAGTTATGTGCCCACTTTGTACACTGCTCGGCTGTTCAGCAGCTGCGAGCTGGACACTACCAGCCTCTTCGTCTCGATTGTGGAGCCGGTGACAAGGACAATGGGTTCAAGTTGACGTGCGTGTACTTTTTCAACAACGTGCAAGTACCTGCGATAGGTAACACCGATGCACAGCAAACATATCTCCAGCTCCGAACAGCGCTAGTCGGGAATGCTTCAGTGCGGCAGATCGAACCGAAAGCAGATCGCTTGGTTCTTTTCCAGAGTCAGTCTGTATTCAACGAGATCACAAGTGTCCCAGATGGCGAAGAACTGTTCTACCTGACGTTTTGGATCCACGGACAAGCTCTGGCGTAGATGTCAAAGACGATAGCAAAGGTGGCCATGTTGACTTATCATGAGGTAGGGTTTGCTGCACGTCATCTTGTGCAACATCTCGAGCGTATTGCTGCTAAAGTCGAACATTGAGTTGTGCACGCATGCATCATATCTACAGATTCCAGTACATAATAATGATCACCTGCAAAAAGTCATCAATGCTCAGACACTATTTGCATATTCGTAAGAACTTGTTCAAACACGTCATGTTTTGCACATGTTGTTTTCGGAATACCGTCACAAAGAAGTACTGGCACGTCTAATTCGCATCAGAGCGCGTGTCATTGCGGTTCCGCGAATCACGACAGAAACGTCTTCGCACCTGTCGTATACCTTTTCTTGTCTGCACGAGCATCCAATAACATCTACATGCTATACGTTCTTCTGTATTGATGACGACATATCGTCGTGATTAAACTATTCTAATATGATCTCCCTTACTTGCCAAGCGTCTTTTTGTAGTGTTGACAGGCAGCCTAACTAATTTGTTTACATCGCTTTCCGTCAAGCGGTCAAAACAATACGTAGCGTGGCCTGAAAAGAAGTAGGCGTTATCGAGACGTCGCGCTCGTGGGATGACACTACAAAGTATGGCATATGGAGACCGAACTGATCATTGATCGCCATTCATGTGTCGGTCAATGAATAGTATCTCGATAATTCGCATTTCTTGTGTAGTATCTACTGATATGCACCTATGCTTCCATTCAAAACATCGCCGTAGAAAACTCAAAGTACATGCAAAATGATATGCAATCATCAAGTACTAAGAAGGCGAGAAATGGCATTGATTTTTTCGACTCGCTTCTTGATTGCTTTGTCAACATATGGCCTCTTGATACGAAATGATGTCTTCTTTACATACTCCATTGTTGTAGTGGTGACACTCGATCGAAAGCGAAAGTTATAGGACAGCTTGAAAGAACGAGAGAACCCTAAGAAATCATACCGACCATGTGTGGCGAAGCTGAGGTAGGAGTGATTTGATGTAATTGGAAAGAGCGATACTGCAAATTGGAATATGTATATCTCGTACATACAACCGCTTAATTGACGTGCGCAGGTCAACCGTCAACTTTGAAATCGCAAACGTTGGTCTGTCGACTATGCAAGATGCGCGTAGCCGAGTGATTTGATTCGTGAAATGAAATTCCGGACGCAATCAGATGAGTGGATGTGACTACATCGTTTTTTTTGACCGCAAAGAGATCATCATCATATCCTTCGTGCTGAAAGCTCAAGCCTGGCTGATAATTGGTGGACATCGCACTCGATATTTGACAGTAGTACCTCATGCATCAACAAGCCATAACCCGTGGATACAACGGAACGAATATCGATATCTGCGAGCGATTCAGAACGCAGCTTCTACGTAGATTCCAATGAATTGATGATGTCAAAAGTGGATACCAACGTCACGAAGACATGGCAACAACGTGCCGTGATTAGCTGGGTCGAATCAGCCAGAGCACCGAAATTATATACCAACTTTTAACTGGTGGTTTGTCACATGCTGAGTGGCGAACGGCGCTATCAAACACGTGATGCAGATTGTCACACGAGCGCTAATGTCGCTACGACCACGCTCGTGATCTTACCCGCAACATCAGCTATCATAGAAAATATGAAAAGGTGGCGGATCGCCTTCAGTAACCTTTCCTTCTCATGTTCAAGAGTGACTTCAGATGACGAGGCAGCCCTGGATCAGGCGTCCACATCTAGTGACCCCGCTTGTAGCGGAGATATCGCAGCTCCTAGCCAGAGGAAGGCTTAACGTACTCAGCTGCAAAGCTGTTCTTTACAAGAACTCGACTCACTAAGTCAACGAGCTTACAGCTCTAGGTCCTTGTTCAAGGGACCTAAACGATTCAGCTAATCGACTGCTTAGTGTGCTAACGAGTCTGTGTTTAAGACGACTTGAATCTCTGATGATCTAAGACGCCTTAAGAAGGCACGTGTCTTTATTCAATTAATAGGGGAACTGAACTCTACTTGTTTTATCTAAAAGAACACCTCAGGCGAAACATTCTTATTTTAGATACCGATGCTCTGATTAGCACCTTATTAAGGATCTCGTATTTGGTGGCTGACACACGTCAGCTCCCAACAACTGATACGGTATTCCAATATTATTGTTTTAATGGGATCCCATCCCTGGTGTACACCACACATGTAATGTCGGTTATCAGTCGACGTGTAACCTAGTTCCACCCTCCTCCACCAGACTGACGCTACCACAAAACGTCAATCGAATTCTTTCCTCGAAGAGGACGGCGTGTGCGCGCCTAACCTCACGGTTTGCTCAAAACACTAAACACTATGTCATCGTTACCTCACGAGTCCCAGAATCCTTCCTCCTGTCTCGATCTAAATGAGTAGGTGGACTATGGTAGCGATACCAGTTTATATGATGAAGAAGGGACGACGCCCAATCCACCGGTGCCTGAGGAACGACAACTTTCGGCACTTAATCCGTCCGTCGAACGTGGTGAATCCAACGCGCCAGCGACGTAGCATCATTCAACAGATGCTGGGATAGCCATCATCACTAACCTACTCAATGAGTATCAAGAGCTGATCATTCATCAAGAGGAGAGTGCTCTTCGTCTCTCCCATACCGACAGGGTCCTCCAAAGCTGTTGCGGCTATGTGTTTACAACACCCGACGTGGAGGAGCATCTCCGCCAAGCAATTGGTCGTTTTCTGTCGACATTGACCATCGGCGCAGAGGCCGCTTCTCCCGAGGACGTTGCCTTTAGACAGGCACTACACGAGAGGTACCTCGAACGCTCTCTGACTACACAAAGTTACTATACGGCTCATATTTAGAGCATAGATCGTTTTGAGCCGGTTCGGCATAGTAAGGGCGTGTCCGTACTGATTTTCGCCGGTGAATTACCCGACGAGGAAGATAACCACTTCATTTTCTGGGCGTATCGAAAACGACACCTCAGCAGTATTACGGCTCTTAGAGAAAGTGCCATCGTGGCCTATGTGTGTCTAGAACAGATGCTTCGATACGAATACGCCAAGCTCAAGGCCAGAGGCCGGTTGCGAAATTGTTCACGCTATGTTTCGGCCACGCCGATAGCCGCGGGTTCTGGCCATACGTTGCGGATCAACCCGTGTCCTTACACCACAATTAGTGAGAAGCGTTCTCGGTCTTAGGATGACCCTTATCGCGATGCTTAAAAATATTCTACGGCGTATGAGTAATCCTGTCGAAGGGGTACATCATACTCATATGCGTTTTTCGACTCCGGATACCCGTGCCATATCACCAGATAATGGTATTGGCCATGACGACGACCTCGGTCCAGGAGTCTCTCCACACTAAACTAGCGATTCCCTTGCTCATCGAGCAGCGTCGATGGTAGTCGTTGTACCGAAGGAGGATCATGAGAAGCTGCTTCTCGAAGTGAATTCTCTCTGCGATACCTGTGATGAGACACAGAGTGTGCTTGTCGTGACGCAAGCTCTAGTTCAAGCGTTGGAGTTGGGTCTAACCCATATGGAAGCTCAACTTGACATCCTGGTTCGCATTCAGCATCCGATAGCAAGGCCAAATACGGCTTCGCAAGCGCATCTAAGCTCACGTGGGACGGACCCCCAAACGGCTTACGTAAATTAACGTTGAACAAAGGATGTGTGCGCAGTTTGCGCGGAAGGATTGTCGTATACGCAAGCACCTTCTTCGCGACGACTGTGTGGCTCAATGAAGCGCGAACGAAACTTTGTCTCAAAGACGGCGGACACTACATTTGTAAATGTTTTTTTAGCATTGAGTAATACGTGGTCTCCTACCTCATATCGTTCAATACAACCATGTCTTTGGCATCTACTTGTTCCTTTTATTGGTCTTGGATATCAGCCAGTGCGTCTCGCACATGTCGTAAGACATTCAATCGTGATGCGAGAAACTCTTTTACCTAGATGTGAAAAGTAGTAGGCCAGATCTCAGCAAACCGATCGGAAACCTCTCCCCCACCAAGCCCTATGACACGCAGTAGTAGAGCTTATGGAACTCGAGGGTGTGAGAGGCCGTTCACGTAGAACATTGTGTATCCGGTGGAGGCATGCACGGCGTTGTTCAACGCAACCTCACCGATAGGAAGCATCGAACTCCAACGTTCGGCATTTCATCGAAAATACTGCGCAAGATGTCACCGATGAAACGATTCACGCGCTCGGTTTGACCTTCGGTCTGCGGATGATCATCTGTGATTACTTTTAAACGTATGCATAGCACCTTAAAGACAGAATATTTTTAAACTTCCCAGTGAAGCAAGGATCTCGATCAGATACAATGGGCACAGTCAAATCGTGTTGTCGAAACACTCGATCGATGAACAGCGTGGTGGTACCTTCACCATCGATAGAGTCCGGCACCGCCGATAAGTAAGCCATCTTGATCAGACGGTCAATGAATACCACAAGATTCGTATTACCAGTCGAATTGTTTTGGTAATCCAAACATGAGTTCCATACTGATGGACTCCCAAGACCCCGTGAGTACCGGTAATGTAGCTAGCGGCGGCGCCGCTAGCTACTTTACCGGGCCCCGGGTTTGGCTCTGCTCGATCCCGATTGGCCTTTCAGTGGCAATCGTGAGTGGTGTGTGTTTGATGTGGTATGGGTTGTCTTTTTGATGTCGTCATTGTGCTCTAGCGGCCTAAGGGGGTAGACCCAAGCTCTACTGTGTTCGCACTCGTGGGATCAAATCCCACCGCTGACACGAACTCAGCACTGCATGACGTCGTCCTGAACGACTGACTCGCTGCGAGAGACACATACGATGTCCGTGCACGTTTCTTGAGCTCGCGAATTTGTCGATGGACACGCTCACCGGCGCCTTCTTAAGGTCAAAAAGTCATGCAACAATATGCATGTGTATACGGCACGTGTTGACTCGTCTATCGGAGCTACAAATCTCATCTATGAGCGACGTCGGGTTGCCTGTGGTCAGCGGTGTGTGTTTT